CTGCCAGAATAACAGTTTTATTTCCTCAATAATAAAGTTACTATCAAAGCTCAGAGTGTAGCAAATTAAGCAAGTTACTTTTCAGAACCTCCCAGTCCTCTTATTTCCCCTTTTTCCTATCCAACGAATGTTGAATGTAAAAACCTACAGCTGCAATCGGGAGAGATACCAATAAAAACCAAAAAAGATCTGTCTTATCTTATAATAATGATGGATTGCATTTACAATTCCACTATTCATTTACACACTGGTGAATGCAAGCTACAGTTGTAGCCACAGCTGCCCTGGGGAAGAAACGACAGAAGCGAGGCCATATCAGAATCAGAATCAGAATCAGAATCGTGTTTATTGGCCAAGTATATGTGCAGACACATACAAGGAATTTGGTTCCGGTAGATGGAGGCTCTCAAGCACAGCAATGTAAATCACACACACACACACACACACACACACACACACACACACACACACACCTGTGTAAACCAACTATAAATAACGAATCTAAACTTATATACATAAAATACAGAAATGAATGAGGTGGAATGAATACTACAGAATGTACATAAGGTGCAGCTGCAGTCTGGCAGTGGGAGCAGTGTGACAGGTCAACTGTTAAGAAGGGAGATGGCGAGGGGAAAGAAACTGTTCCTGTGTCGGGGGGTCCTGGTCTGCAGGCTTCTGTACCGTCTGCCAGAGGGCAGCAGATCAAAAAGTCTGTGTGCAGGGTGTGAGGGGTCTGTGATGATGTTCCCTGCCCGTTTCCTGGTTCTTGAGAGGTACAGATCCTGGATGGAGGGCAGGGGGGTGCCGATGATCCTTTCTGCTGCCCGTACAGTCCGCTGCAGTCTGCTCCTGTCCTGTTTAGTGGCTGCTCCATACCAGACTGTGATGGAGGAGCACAGGACAGACTCAATGACCGCAGTGTAGAACTGGATCAGCAGCTCCTGTGGGAGACTGTACTTCCCCAGTTGTCTCAGGAAGTACATCCTCTGCTGGGTCTTTTTGAGGATGGAGTTGATGTTGGTCTCCCACTTCAGGTCCTGGGAGATGGTTGTACCCAGGAACTTGAAGATCTTCACAGTCGACACAGGGCTGTCTGATATGGTGAGGGGGAGCAGAGTTGAGGGATGTCTCCTGAAGTCCACTGTCATCTCTACAGTCTTAAGAGTGTTCAGCTCCAGACTGTGCTGACTGCACCAGAGTACCAGCCGCTCAACTTCCTGCCGGTATGCAGACTCATCACCATCCTGTGTATGTATCACGCCATCGGCCCCTCTGGCCATCACCAGTAGGCAGTAGGTGAAGTGTCTTGCCCAAGGACACAATGACCGAGACTGTCCGAACCGGGGCTCGAACCGGCAACCTTCTGATTACAAGATGAACTGCCAACTCTTGGGCCACGATCGCCCCTGTGGTCTCCATCCTTTTAACTCTGTGACTCTGTGGACAGGTAATTTCCTTAGGGATTAATAAAATATAGTGATTCTGATTCTGATTCAGCTAAACCTGAAATAGTAATACAGTTGAAGTCTGGACCATTAACAGTAACTCAGTAAAACATCTCCATAGCAGAGATGTTGTAAGACGACCATCATATATGAGTGAGGCAGAAATGAAATCAAATTATAAATATTTAAAACGGGGAAGCATTTTATTCCAGTAATGACAGAAATAATGAATTGCTCTACAAAAAATGAGGTGTTACAGCCCGTTGGTAGGTTTAGTTCTTTTTTACATGTTGCCATGGTGAATCATGTTATCAGAGCTCCTCTCATGAATCTTTTCCTCTTCTAGTCATCCATGTACTTAACTCAGCATGCTTCCTGTAACAGGGTCCAGAAGTACACAGTTCAAAATACAATTTTAGAAGATCACAAAACACCCACTGTCCTGTAGACAGCTCAGTAAATGACTCCTCAGGCTCAAGTTAAACAGTCAAACCATTTCCAGTATATCTTTGTTTTATGTTCATTTCTTGGATTTTCATTTTTCAAGTCTTGTTTATTTTTATTCAGTTAAACACTTCATTTTAGTTTTCACTCCAGTTTTAAATGTAATCATTTTGCTCTGTACAGACACAAATCTTTGGTTTCTGACAAAAATATTTTCCACCCTGTAGAAAACACAGACACCATGCCGTTATTTAACGAATCCGCCTGAAAGAACACAGTTGACACAGTGACGCAGCTCCAGAAACAACGCAAGCGACCACAGACAAGTTATACACCTTGACAGAGTGGGCGCTCCTTGTCATCACAGCTGAGAGGGGATAAAAAGTCTTAATGTTCAGCCTAATGTGATTAAAAATGATCAGAGTGCTAAAACAGAACTTTTCCCCTTTTCCCTAAAATCTAAGTTTGATCGACATATTAATGAGAAAAGTTGTTTGAGTAGTAAAAATGACTGTTCTAATGTCATTGTTGTGTGTGTGTGTGTGTGTGTGTGTGTGTGTGTGTGTGTGTGTGTGTGTGTGTGTTAGTGGCTAGATCCACTGATCTCAATGAATAACCCGACTTTTAAATCGATTTAATAAAAAAGTTGTATGAAATAAACAGTGAATAACAAACAGAGTTTAAAAAGGATGCAATCCTCAGTATTTGAATTAAAAAGGGATTATGTTACAATGAATGTTCATGTGAAAATGTGCTAAAGACAAATCTAATTGAAATAGAATTACATGAACTAAGGCTACGTCCACACGTACACGGGTATTTTTGAAAACGGAGATTTTCCGTTTTCGTTTTAAAAAATAATCCCGTCCACACGTAAACGCAGAAATGAAGGAAAACACTGCTATGAACATGCCAAAGCAGCAGGTGGCGATATATTCCTAACCGTGCAGAATTGTTGGCCAATCAGAAGTCTAGAAGCCTCGGTGGGAAAAAGTAAACAAAGCTGGGGCATAGAAGCAGAACCGAGTCGTAAGTGTGGAGGGACAGTAACTGTGTGTGTATGTAAGCATTTAAACACTGCAGAGAGTAATTAACAGTAACAGTAATGTAGAAATTCATTTCACTG